TGGCGCGATCTCAGCTCACCACAACCTCCGCCTCCTGGGTTCAGGCAATTCTCCTGCCTCAGCCTCCTGAGTAGCTGGGATTACAGGCACGCGCCACCATGCCCAGCTAATTTTTTGTATTTTTAGTAGAGACGGGGTTTCACCATGTTGACCAGGATGGTCTCGATCTCTTGACCTCGTGATCCACCCGCCTCAGCCTCCCAAAGTGCTGGGATTACAGGCTTGAGCCACCGCGCCCGGCCCAAGGGTGTCTTTTGTGAATAAAAAGACTATTTGTGATTAACATTATTAAACTAATGTTCAATTTATAAAAGAAATAACTCTAGGAACCTGGTTTCTTAAGTTTTTAAGTTCAATTTACAAATATTTTCCTATTTATAAAACTAGTTAACGTGAACAGCTAACTGACTTTGACTGTTTAATGAATTCAATTTAGAACAGATTATAAAATCCCTTATATATACAGTCCCATTTAAAACTTAGTTAAATTAATTCCCTTACACCAATTTAAACTGCAATTAAAAGTTTAATACATTCAAATTTCCTTTCCTTTTTAGGAATTTCAAATGCCTAGCAACCAAAACTTTCCCTAGCACTTATCTGATGCTAGAAAATCTAATAAGAAAACTAAAAATTCTTATGAATCATGACATGGAAGGCTGGCAGCTTCTGGTAATAGCTCAGTAGTACCTAGCGGACCAATTCTCCCAACAGCAATAAACTCTGGACCAACTATAAACAACAACCATTGCAGGGCAACCACAAGCAGGCAGGAACTGAAGACACATGCACATCTGGACGAAGGGAACAAACATTAGGTGGACTTCTCTTTTTTTTTTTTTTAAAAGGGTTTTTGCCTGAGGGCAAAAAATTATACTTACATTAGAGGCCCTGCTATTATTATTATTATCATCATTTATTTTATTTTATTTTATTTTTTTTTTGAGACAGAGTCTTGCTCTGTCGCCAGGCTTGAGTACAGTGGCACAACCTCAGCTCACTGCAGCCTTCGCATCCAGGTTTCAAGCAATTCTCCTGCCTCAGCCTCCCAAGTAGCTGTGACTACAAGCGTGTGCCACCAACTCCAGCTAATTTTTGTATTTTTAGTAGAGACAAGGGTTTCACCATGTTGGCCAGGATGGTCTCGATCTCTTGATGTTGTGATCCACCCACCTCGGCCTCCCAAAGTGCTGGGATTATAGGTGTGAGACACCATGCCCGGCCTATTTTTCCCACATTTGGTGAAAGACATAACGATATCAATGTATAGATTCAAAAAGGTCAGTGAACACCAAGCAGAAAAATGTAACAAATTGCTTAAGCATTCCAGTATTGCTTAGGAACCTTAAATAATATATACTTTAACTTTTATCTTTCCACTTAAAATCAGAAGTAGGCCAGATATGGTAGCTCACACCTGTATTCCCAGCACCTTGGGAACTGAAGGCAGAACTTATGCCCAGGAGTTTCAGACCAGTATGGATATCATAGGAGACCCTACCTCTACTAAAAAATACATTTTTTTAATTAGCTGGGTTTGGTGGCATATGCCTATAGTCCCAGCTACTCAGAAGGCTGAGGTAGGAGGATTGTTTGAGCCCAGGGGGATCAAGGTTACAGTGAGCCATGATCATAACACTGCACTCCAACCTGGGTAACAGGGTCAGACCTTTTCTCAAAAAAATAAATAAATAGCCGGGCGCGGTGGCTCACCCCCGTAATCCCAGTACTTTGTGAGGCCGAGGTGGGTGGATCAGGAGGTCAAGAGATCGAGACCATCTGGCCAACGTGGTGAAACCCAATCTCTACTAAAAATACAAAAATTAGCTGGGCACGGTGGTGTGCACCTGTAGTCCCAGCTACTTGGGAGGCTAAGGCAGGAGAATTGCTCGAACCCAGGAGGAGGAGGTTGAAGTGAGCTGAGATTGCGCCACTGCACTCCAGCCTGGCACCTGGTGATAGAGCAAGACTGTGTCTCAAAATAAATAAATAAATAAATAAAATCAGACATATAAAATTACTCAATTACAACTTTTAAATGGTCATTGCCAAGACTAATCTGATAGATATTCTAACATGCATTCTGTCACCAGTATGCCTGGGTTTCACCAAGGTAGACCACAGACTAACTGTGTGCCTTTGGGCAACTTATTCAATCTGTGAATTGAATCTGTGCTTCAATTTTTTTTACATGTAAAATCGCAATGATAACATTATTTACAGCTAGGCGTGGTGGCTCACACCTGTAATCCCAGCACTTTGGGAGGCCGAGGTGGGTGGATCACAATGTCAAGAGATCGAGACCATCCTGGCCAACATGGTGAAACCTGGTCTCTACTAAAAAATACAAAAATTAGCTGGGCGTGGTGGCACATGCCTGTAGTCCCAGCTACACAGGAGGTTGAGGCAGGAGAGTTGCTTGAACCCAGGAGGCGGAAGTTGCAGTGAGCCGAGATCGTGCCACTGTGCTCCAGCCTGGCGACAGAGCAAGGCTCTGTCAAAAANAAAAAAAAAAAAAAAAAAAAAAAAAAAAAAAAAAAAAAAAAAAAAAAAAAAAAAAAAAAAAAAAAAAAAAAAAAATTGCATTTACCTCATAGGTTTGTTATAAGGATTAAAAGAGTTAATCTTTGTAAAGAGTTTATATAGTGCCTGAAATTGAATAAATGTTAGCTATTATTACTATTAAGCCAGATCCTCTTAAGTATTACTAACACTTCAAATGACAAAAATAAACAAATTATACCTCAGGCTAACATAAAAGTATGGGTTTGATTTACTTCATCATCCTATATTTAATTCTAAATCTTCCCAGATTGGGAAGGGAAGACACTGACCCACCAAGAAAACAATTTTACTGTACCAAACAAGTTGAGGCTACCATCTCAGCAGTTGGAGGCTGCTTATCGTGCAGAAGCTGTGGGCCACAACATGGGCTGCATATATGCAAGATATTTCCCATGGCCCTCCACCACGTTGCACTCTTTTTACTGTGACCATAGCAACAAGACCCCATTATCTCCCAGGTTAGTGTGGTTATTTGTTCCCAACAGTCTTCTGTACCCACATCCAGTGTGTCACAGTAGGTGTGCCAATAAATATTTGTTGAATGATGATATACACACATTAAGTGGATGAATAGAGAGGGCCAGGGAAACTAGATGACAGTTAATTAAAATGAGATTTTTAGGAAATCAGCCATGGGAAACTGAGAAAACACTTCATTATCTGCTCCCTTTATCTTTTCTTTACTCAAATACAAAAGGCTTGACCAACGGTAAGGCAGGGGTTGAAGAAATGGCCCTAAAGCAAGGCTATACACATCTAAAACTCTTCCTTCTTGCATGACATGTTTTGAGGAATAAGGATGCTATGAAATTAGAGGCTTCATGCACAGATTGCATTTCTCAATTGCTTGGCTGTGGTATAAAACCTGTACCCAGAACCTTTACTCTAATCTTTGGTTAGAAGGCAGGCCTACTAACAAGTCATCCTACTAACATGCTCTCTACATTTTAATCCGCCCTCCACAGAAACAAGTTATTCTTCTGAAGCAAGAATCTGTGATGCCACTATGTCTCCTGAATACTTATATGATGTTCAAACTTCACACTACTCAGGTCCTTTATAATCATGTCCCCATGTTCCACTTCAGATCTATCTTCAGGCCACAAACTCTGAGATACAGTCACCCTGTACAACCCACCATTCTCTAAACTGTCATATATTTTCATTCCTTCCTGTCTTGATGCATGATATTTTTTTCTGCTTGAAACACCATTCCCAATGTCCTCAGCCTAACTCAAAGACAACCTGCTTAAAGATAACCTCTAACAAGACCTCCTATCTCTACCAAGTAGTGATGTTACCCTCTTTCGTGTCCCTAAAAGCTGTCTATCTGTACAGTTCTCTATCACGTCACACAGCACACCACACAGGGGCTCTTTGCTATCAAGTATGTCTCTATCAGCCTGTGAGCTCTTGCAGGTAGAGGCTATCACTTTCCCAGCTCTGTAGCAGCAGCTCCTCTATGAAAGGGCTGTCCTAAGTGGGTACTCATAAATGTTGGTTGAATGAATGAAAGCAAATACAAGAAAGTAAGGTCAAGACTAAGAGCTAGATTTTAAAGTCAAACCAATCTGAATATAACTCCTAGACTCCATCATTTACTAGCTGTGTGAGATCTTAGGCATATAATTTCGCTGCTCTGAGTTCTGGTTTACTCATTTGTAAAAAGTTGATAAAGAAGGCCGGGCGCGGTGGCTCACGCCTATAATCCCAGCACTTTGGGAGGCCGAGGCGGGTGGATCACGAGGTCAAGAGATCGAGACCGTC